CTAATAGAAATTAATTCACCCACTCCACTGTCAGAACCCTTCTGTTAGAGGCTTTGCTGTGCACGACAAACAAGTACAATGATTCCAGAGCAAACACTACAGAAAATGATATATTTGCTCAAGCAAACAAAGGAAAAGTGGATTATTTATTTTGAGGTTATCAACTGCAATACATACTTTGCTGGTTTTATGTAATTAAATCCATTCCATCCTGAAGCGACACAAGACCTATCTAAGCATATACCGAGACTAGATATTACCAATATTAAAGCAGGAATGACTTTTACTATTATAACTCACAGCAAAATAGGAAATAAGCCCCAAAATTATTATAAATGAAGAGATCTTATGCCAGTTCATGTCTTTGCTATGTTGACACTGAAATATGTATCATAAGCGCCTCTCAAACTGACTCAGTTCTTTGGCATCTGAAAACTTCTGGTTCTCTTCTTGTGGAAAGCTAGTGGTGTGAAGTTTTGACTTCATGGGAAGATTGAATGTTCACAGTTCAGGGTCATGCATTTACAAAAATTGGCATATTTTGAGGAAGTACAAGCTTACAGTTGGTTTTCCTCTATCATCTGTCTCCAGTCCTTGTTGGCTGCAGCTTATTGGGCAAAGCAGTAAGATCCATAATGGGATGTTCCTGCATTTTAAGTTGCTCAGGCACATCTTTTGCATAGGTGTCAAGTGGTGTCTTAGACAGCAGTTTACATTTTTCCTTGTTTTAAAAAGTGATGATTAGTCCAAATAGAAGGAAATTGAAATCAATTTATTAATTTCCCTTATATAACCATTTATCTTCTTTTGTTGGGTAAGAATGGGAACTGGTTTGTAGTACTTTTAGAATATTTAAAAACCAAAAGAGAAAATTTCCCCAGCCTAAGAGCTGTGCATTTGCTCTTATGTGCTAAGCATTTATTTGATGAGAGATGCTTATTATAATCACTTTTTAATGATTTGCTCAGCAATTAAAATCAATCATGCTGCTTAATTTCTCTTAATTTGGATACTTCAGATATGCGCTTTATATGAAACTCTTCCTTCAAAACTTGATTAGCTGTTTTTAATAATCTCATTACTCCTGAATCCTTCAACACACAAAATATTACTATTTTTTTCACTCACATCTATTTTTATTTCAGTTAAATTGCTGGTCCAAGGATATACAGTATATATTATGCTCTCTCTGTGTATTTTTAATTTATCTCTCTTCACATTCTAGCCAGGCTCTCTGGACAACCAAAGCTGTATAAATGTTAGTTAAATCTCTATGTTTGTCAAGTGGAACAATCTCAGTCTATTTACATAGCTCCCATTATTTTAGCTTTAATGTTAAGATGCCACTGAAAATTTAAACTCATATGTTTTGGTAGTGCATAACTTATTAATTTTAATTCCTCTTTTTCCATTGAATTTAATGAATCCTATAACATTAAACTCCAGCTACTTTATCATAACACTTGGCTATAGCTTTGAAAGGGAAGTTTGAATTTCAATTTCATGCTAGACCACTGCAGCCACACAACTGGGTAAGACAGGGGAGAGACTGAAGACTCCTCTGAGATGTCTTGTGCCTCAGCTGCAGTGACACAGACCTCATCAGAGTGGTCTTCCTCCCGCAAGTCCTGGCCACTACTGATCCTGCTAGACATGAATGCAGGAATGTGGGAATCCTGGTCTGAGGTTTTGATGAAAGCATGAGCCTGTACTTTGTGGAATGCTAGACCCAAAACAATTTCTAGAATTGCAGAATCAAGGGCCATATTTCCATGGCATTGTGATTTGGAAAAAAAAAAAAAAAAAAAAAAAAAAAAAAAAAAAAGGCGGCTTACACCAAAAATGGAACAGCTGAATTGTATGAAATGTAAACTGTTAAGTAAGCTTTCATTTCAATAATACCATTTTTCATTTTCTGACCTTTTCCCATCCAGGCTTGGTAATCTCTTGGATAGCATTAGAGAAGGCAAAGGTTGTAAGACTTAACTGATATCCAATATTGCCAGTGTTAAAACCTTTGAAATGCTTCCTTCAGAAAGATGCACAAAAAAGGAAAATTAAAAACTGCAAAGTTTTTTTTCCTCATTCATCTGTCTTCTGTCTTCAGGGCTTTTTGCTACTTGCAGCTTGAAACACAGATACAGCAAGTAGTCTAAGCAATCTCCTCAGGTCCTAATACACCAGCAATACATAGTTCATTATATTGTTTTCTCATGTCAAGCCCAAATTTCAGTCATCAGCAGCAATTTATGGCCCATGTTTTTGAAACAGAAGGCAAAAACAGATAAAATCTATTTGTCTTTAACTAATTTGAACAATGTAGACCTTTCCCCATCAGTGCCAGAAACACAGATGAGATGCACTTATGAGTTCATCAGTATTGTTATTTATTATTATATTAATGGGCAGGCAGGATATGGGGAGAAACAAAAAGAGTAAAGAGAGTGAGTGTATAGATTCTTCAGCATTTAGAGAGAAAAGCAATGATGCCTGCTCCGTTATTATTGCTTCTAAAATGTCACAGTATCCTGGCATCATGACAATAGAAGTTGAGCAACACAGGATTTAGATAATCCTAGTTTCAAAATCATAGGGCTAGAGGAGATTTTAAGAAATTATCAAATTTATCTCCACATTGCTAAGATAAATCAGCTTTTGCTGCATCATTTCTCAGTGCCTGCCTTGCCTATTCTTACAAATCCTTCTTTATGTAGATGCTAGACAATAAAACTACTTATTTTTGTCCTTGTCACCAGAAAAATCTTGCTAATGTTTAAGCAGAATATATTTTAAATGCTTGCTCTGCATCCCAGCCATTATAAAAGCAAATACTAAACACTTCTTCCTCGGTCATAACTTCTCTAATAACAATACTAACAGTAAAAAACACTTATCTTGGCCAAAGTGCAGGACAGCTTTCCCCGCTTAAGTTACAAAAGAACAAATATAAAAAAATACAATTGAACAAAGGGCATTTTGACTACATAAGAAGGCAAAATGAAGGGCTGGAAGAGGACAGATCTGACTGCCTTCATGAAGATAGTGAAACAGGAGATTGTGTACCTCAATGTATTTAGTGTACAGTCAGAGGACTTGAGATGTAGGAACCAATCTGCAGGTCTCAGCTTCATTTAATAATCTAGAGCAACTCAGGGTTTCCTGTTCTGGTTTTAGTTATTCTGTACTTCTACTATCTACATCTCAGCTCTTTCAGGAAACTGACACTGACATTTACTAACCAAATATATAAATATATATGCATTAATATATATACAATGACAAAATATTTTAGTTAAGGAAATTTTTAAGTTAAACTAATAACAAAATGTTATTCCTTACTTTTAAGATACAGTGTTTTTGTCACCCATTATATCGTTGGGTGGATCCAATATTAAATGTATTGTATGCACACACATATATACATAAAAGCATATATATAGCCTATATATATATTAGCATAACTATTAAATTACTTTTAAAATTACAATTAATTTAGAAAATTTAGGGAATATTTGATTTCTTTATCAGGACCTTAATGTCTAATCAATCAAAATCAAACAGTACATTGTAATAGTATAAACAAAGTAATAGTATAACCATATAACATAATAGATACAGCATAACAGTATCATATGATAAAATAAGAAAGGTTTGAAAATATCTAATTTATTAATAGAAAGTATATAAGCAGCCACAAGTTATGACAGAAGAAACTTGATCTCAGGGAATATGTCATTATAAGACCCTCACTTATATTGTTACTGAAATATTTAGTAGTACTACTTTAAGTGAACCAGGGAATGGTCAGAAAAACAAAAGCAAGGAGGTACAGTTGAAATTAAATCTCAAATACAGTTACCTAAAGAAGGAACACAGCATCTTCAGAAGACTGTTGAAATCCCTGGACAAAGGTTGCCAGTGAGACTGTCAAGGGAGTTACAACCACTCACTGGACTTTGGTGCTGCCACAGCACAGGACTGCCCAAGAAGAAAAAGAAAAGTGGGCCTGTAGCTGTTTGATAAAAAGATGTCACTAAGTTTCCTCATGTATCAATTAATAAATGACAGCTCCTATCTAACTTTTTAGAAATTCCTAAAGGTGAATATTGCCCACTGCTCTCTCTATTTGCTGTCTCACACTTTACTACCTCTCATCACAGCCTTCTTTGATATGACTTTTGATACTACCTACTAATCCACACCACATTAACATAATGACTTTTATTACTAATAACTGCAACAAACTTTTTATTTTTTTGGTCTCTGTCATCAGGAAGGGAAGGATTTCCTGCTCAGAGAAATGTTTGTTTTGCTGATAAAAGCAATAAAGCAAAAACACAGAGATCAGTTCTAAAAATCTTTCTGTGTTATAAGCTGTGTAATACACTGACTCCGGAGACACACATCTAGGACTGTAGCAGTTTATTATCTCTTCTTTGCCACTGCTGCTGAATGATGTCTCCCAAGCTGCTGCATATATAAAAAATACATGTTTCTCTTTTAAAATGTTTTATCTTCACCTTAAGTTTTAGTTCTCTCATGGGAAACAATATATAATAAGAGCTTACTTTATACTTCACAGCCAGAGAAGGTTTTAAGCTTGAGTCTCTTACCACATACTGCATTAAAAGGAGCATTTTATAAAGACCAAGCTCAAACAAAAATCTATATTCTTTTTTGTCCAACACTTATTTTGTAAACGCCAATCCAGCTTCTTTTCCAGTTTTATGTGTTTTTTGTATGTTTAGGTGCTGTGAAATTGAAGTAAAAATGTCTGACGAACATTGGAATTCCTTTTTTCTTTTTTCTAAACAGAGATCCAGGGAGATTTTATTTACTGCGTACAGGTGAAGCCTAAGAGAAGGGAACCCACGCTTTTTTATTTTTCAAACTAATGTTGACACTGACACACGGAAACACCATACTTGACTTGAATAGAAGCTGTTTTAGCAAAATTTGTTTTACAACAGAAACAAGACAGAAGTGAAGCAGAAATTTACCTCCTTACGACATCGTCTCCGTTCCAGCAGCGGAGCCCATCGGCAGCCGCCAGCTCGCTCCCGCACAGCTGCTCCGCCAGGCCGCCGAAAAAGGCTCGGTAGGGCCGCAGGTGCCTGATAAACTCCCTGCACACGGACACCAGAAATAATTGTCAGTGTCAACCAACAACACTGAGCTGCCTTGCTGTTGTGCAGCTCTAAAACATAAGGAATGTGTTTATTCCATTACTCTCCACTGGTTCCAGTGGTATTTAAATTGATCTGTCAATAGATGAGTTTGATTATTTTAGATACGCTTCATTAGTTTACAAAGTTGATACTCCCACTGATCAAATTTTTTTTAAAAAAAGCCCCTACTTTACATATGCTCTGGAAAAGGAACTATTTCTTTCAACCTGAAATTTTCTTGCATTGTAGTAATGCATTTTGCAATGTTATAGATGGACAAATAGATGCAAAAATGCTCCAAAAAGAAGTATAGCAAATAAAAAAATAGGTGCAGATTAATAAATCTCCTGTGCAAAAATGCTCCAAAAAGAAGTATAGCAAATAAAAAAATAGGTGCAGATTAATAAATCTCCTGTTTTCCAAAACTGCTGACAAGAAGTTCCCTACCTATCTTTATAAATGCTACAAAAAATATTTTTTAAAGTTATGCAGCAACTCAAGATTCAGATAAAATGGGTTTAGTAGGTGTTCAGTATTTAGTAAAGATTTAAATAACCATCTGAAGGATTGTATCAGTTCTACAATGTGCTGTGCTGGTAAGTTATAAATTATGTATTGTTATTTTAAATAATTTTTAAAATGCCCAGAGATAATGATAAGGTTTGTACTTAATTCAAAACACATTAATTACTTTTTAGTTGGTATGTTCTTAACAGAATTGTGGTATTTAATATTAAGTGTTTGTTTATTAATTGAAAATCTCTTTCTGGGAGACCCTTTCCTACTGGGAAAAATTGAAATACTTACTCATTCTGAAATGGAACATGACACATTACTGACTTATCTATGACCTGCAGTCACACAGAAAAGCCCCACCAAATTTTATACTCATTGCTCTGTAACCCAGTTAACTTTATGTTAACTCTATTTATAGTGTCTGGAGTTGTGAAAAAATGCCAGAAATAGTATATACATTTCCCTATATTTAGTCACCATAGGACTATATGCTATAGGGAATTTAATTATTCAGTATTGTTTACTTCAAATTAAAACAAATAAAACATCAGTGATATATACAGTCCATCATTTAAAAAGCCATACGTTCTTTCATGTAATAGAGCAAATATTTTACACAAACTACAGTGGTTTTGATTTACTATGTCTATTAAATGTGATGTGAGTGCCCTACTAATTCTAAAACTGCAGCTCTGAAAAATCCCATGTAGGGTCAATTTTGACGATGCAACATATAATTGCCTATGTGCATTAGGTTTTAAATATGATTCATCCACACTCTCCTAGCCATGAATAGCCATATCTTTTATTTCTCCACACCCAAAATTGAATCCAGTGTGCACAGTGACATTGCAATTTCCCTCCAAATGCCATTGAGTGGATTGATTTTGATTTTGTCTATGCTTTATGTTTACACTCTGGCTGAAAAATAGTGTTTAGAGGGTCCTCTCAAAGGGAACAGCTGGAAGTTTTTCTGAAGAAGAAATAAAAATAAATAAATATACCTGTCATAATATGCAGTCACAAATTGCATTCTAACAGAAAGGTCATTTGGTTTACTAGTAAATACGTTCTGAGGCAAAGATAAATTTAATAGAGAAGTAATAACTGATTTCAGCCCCTGTTGATGTCTGACCAAAATAGTTAGAAGGGCAAACGGTATGAATGTCAATTTTCACATGATCATCCTCTAGACCAGATAGCATGTAATTATAGGCAGCTGACCACAAATGTGCAATTACAGTCAGTGGAAGCTGAAGATACTTTTTATCTGTTTATTTAGAAATGCTTTTTTTTTTTTTTTTTTTTTTTTTTTTTTAAATTTTTTTTTTTTTTTTTTTTTCTTTTACAATTTCATCCTCTGTGCTAGAAGCTGTCTGCAGTAAGGAGAAAAAAGCATTATATATTTCCAAGTTTGTATGTTGCTATGGAAGGGTTTGTTAGATTTTTTTAAATTCATCTAACAATTTTTTGGCATCAAAAAAACAGAGAAATTGCTTTTTCTTCCTGTACCAAATAGCACCAAAAAATACCAGCTTAGGTCAAATAGGTAAAAATAATTCAGAAGTTCAGGTAGTAGCAACCCAACGTGTATGTTAAATTGTAAACATTCATCTGGACATTCTGCTGGAAAACTGAAGTACCACAGGAGGTAAATAAGGTGGAGTTAGAGAAGAGCACTTCCTTAAGAGCAGGCTGCAAGCACTTGCTAAGTCACACTTCCATGTGAGGTTCTTACAGTTGCTATGGGAATACAGAGTGAAATGTAAAGTGATTGTGCCTAATAAGGAAGGAGGTGATCCAGGAGGTGGAAACTGCAGATGGCAGCAGACAGCAAGTTGTTAAACTGGAATCTGTATCAATGGATTTCAAAATTTCTTTGCCTTCCCCTTTTTGGTGCAGAGTTTATATGCCACGAAGAGTGTCCAGAATCTCAGACAGGTGAGAGAGAAGGGAAGGGAAGGGAAGGGAAGGGAAAACAATGTTGCTTTGTGTTGCCCAATGCCTCTCATGCCCCTGAAGGTCTCTCAGGTGATCTCCCTGAGGTCAATACAGCATTCTGTGCTTTGAAACATGAAACAGTCCTGGTTTAAGTGGGATTTTTGAATATATTATTGTGTTTGCAGAGTGTTAGCAATGAGAAAATATCAAGAACTTGCATGTAACTGAGAAACATGCACCCGTGTAATGCGTATTCCCTGAAAAACATCTGTCCTGGCTAAAGTAAACTTCTGGTTTGCAAACCTTTCTGCAACCACAATGTTTTCAAAGCCCTCTATTTATATTTTGAGTTGTTTTTATTTTTTTCCCACTATTTAGTAACTGGAGGGCCTTACACTGAGAAGAATGGTTTGCCTTTGAAGCTCAGAGGCACCTTTTCTTCTCCAGAAGTGCGCAATTACCAGGAGTGAGCAATTATTCCCTGAAATTCTCTCACTTCTGTTTCCTTCTGCACTACAAAGTGAAATGAGAGGAAAAAGAGGACAAAGAAAACTTCTCTGTGTTTTAGCAAACACTACGACAGAAATGAAATTTCTGATTTTAACTTTGTACTTTATTTGCATAATGGAGCCTTCAATCTTAACTGCAACATTCCTAACGCCTTAGAGTGCTATTATGGTCATTAAAAACCTGATTAACTAGTCTAAATATAGACTGGCCTTTGAGATTCCTTCAGCTACCTAAGATATCTGCAGAAAGCTGGAAGCTACCACAGAATCAGAGAATCTACTGATTTGGAAGGGACTCACAAGGATCTTTGAGCCCAACTCCTAGCCCTCCACAGGGCCATCCTCAAGAGTCTCACCAAGTGCCTGAGAGTATATTCCAAACACTTCTGTCAGGCTTGAACTCCATGATGCAACACCTATGATATGGGACACCTGTATCCTTCTTGGCGGAAGATCAGCTGGGATACCCCAGGGTATCCCTGAGTGGCACTGGATGATTACAGACATGTGCACAGCTAAAATGACTTCTCCTTTCCACAGACTGTAATGGCAGCTCAAACACCAACCTCACAGAGTTACACAAAGTTCACCCTGCAATGCTGATATGAGTTTAAATTTAATCTCCAAGCCTCTGCAGTCACTTCAGTTAACTATATACCAGCAAAAGAGCCAGAGAAAAAAAAATCAGCAGGTTTTGCTTAAACAAGACTTTTTAGTCACAAATGCTGTTGTCTTTTTTTTTTACACCAGAAAGGTATGTAAGAAAAATAATTAATTTTTTATGTCTTATCAGCTTGTTTTATCAGTTTTTTGTAAAAAGCTACAGTTACTTTTTGTCAAATTTAGTAATGACTGCTGCTATGTAAAGTTAAATGTAATTTTAAAAATTACACACAGAACTACGACTCATATTCTATCAATGTTATCTACTCTCCTAAATACTTTAAATCACACCAAATGACTCTGGTCATATGTCCATTACTTCTGTAAACAAAATCGAGTCATGTAATTACCCTTTCCAAAATGTAACAGTAGACTGTGTTGCTAAAATGCTTCATTCTTTGCAGATTTTATTATCTAGTAATGCATGCCATTGCATTGAGCATAATCTAGTCTGTTGTAAAATTAATGGCTTACTGTATTCTTTCTTTCTGGCTGCAAAAATAATGTCTTACTTTCTTCTGTTGGTGAGTGTTTGTTCACTGTCTCTGGAGAACATCTTCAACCCTTGATTATCTTTGTTCTGATCAAAGGAGCAACCTGGAGAATGTTCAGGCTTTCTTACAGGAGGGCCACATATCTTATTCACCTAAAAGGAAAAACAGCCACAAGAAGGAAAGAACACATGTAAGCAACAATTGTTATCTATCTCTCAATTCAGTTTCACTACATTTTATCAAGAAAGAAAGACTAAGATATGAAAAGCATAATTAATTATGTATGACACTGTGTAACACCGTATCCATAATGAATGCAGCAAACATATAATTAGCCATTTTATAGTAGAAAAAAGTAGTAAAAGCATTCCTTTTTAAGGGATACCAAGTGTGTAAGAAAGTCACCATGTATTTTATTGATTGTGGTGTTTTTTTCCCATAAGGAAGTGTATTTTTATGGAGACTGTATCAGTATCCTCAGAGAATATCAGCATATTCCATTTTTTCTTTAATGTATCCCAATCACATTTTTAATATGCATTGAACTTTGTGCCTTATTTCAGGGTTCATGAATTATTATAGCATGCTCAGCCCAGCTACACAAATATATAGTGGACAGTTAGCATGGTGGAAACTTGCATTATAACAATGAAAGACATTAAGGTAATAACCCAAGATGTAAGTTTAATGATACTGGACTACAGATGTTGAAAATATCAAGGAATTTTATGTCCAGCTTTCTGATCTAGATGTCAACAGATAAAAATTCACACAAAGTCTCATTTTCTTCTTTGTAAAATATGATATTGAACATCTTCTATGACATAGGACATCACATTCATATCTCATCACTCTTCCTAGTCATTGAATAAAAAAATTAGAAATATACATATATTTATTAAATAGGAGATAGTTATGATAGTTATGCTTGTAATCACATCTGACAAGATATATTAAGCAGACTGAACAGCATGCATTTATGTAAGCTGGCACTGGAGAAAAATTAATACTGTATGTGATTTATGAAAACTTGATAGTCATTAGGTAGTCAACTTTTAGAGAGAAAAAGGGAGAGAGAAGATCAATATGGCCTCTAATGCAGACATCCAATCTTGAAGCAGAAACATATTCAAAATGCTACCATGTTAAGGAAGGTGTGTATGCTACACAACAAGGATTACTGTTTCCTATTTTATATTCCCACATGTAAGCACAGAGACAGCAAATAAATCTAATTTTCAGGTCATCGCACATTTAAAGAGAGAAATGCAAGTCTTATGGACCATCTTTCCAACTAAGAGCTCCTGTAGAGGTAGTCGAGAAATACATTTAAAATTTAAAAGAGAATAAAACACATTTCATTTTAATGAGTTTGTTGTCATGCATGTTGTATGTGGTGATAATGAAAGATTCACTGAACGCACTTGCTTAGGTCAGTGAAAAGAAGAAAGAATCAGCATTATTACTACATAAGAACTAGTGTTCACCTTATGATTTGAAATTGAAGGTAAAGTTGAAAGTGAGTAGTCCTTTTAGGTTGTGGTTCACATATCACAACACAGTCATCCAAGTTAGAGTTTAGACCCCCTCCAAATGACATGCCCAAATTTACCTGCAAGACAATTATCACTGGACTTATGACTAATGTCCTTTAAGGGATTACACTTTGAACACCATTTGAGGCATTCATCTCAATGTTTCTTCTTAGAGACAGGGTCTCTCTGGACAGCATCTTACTACATTCCTTCTTGTCCTCAAATTCAGTTTCAAACCTCCTTCACTCTATTTCCTCCAGTAAAGCATTTCCCACATTAAAGCATATCCCACCAGCTTAACCGGACTCCCCATTTTCCCCCCTTGTCTCTACACCTTTTCGGTGCTTCACGCATCCTTACACAAATTTGCTCCTTCAGTGCCAGCCTGTGCAGCAGCTTATCACACCAGCCTCTCTATGCCAATATAATGGAGATATACCAGAGACAAACAAAATGTTTCCATCATTTTATTTGTCTCACTTTTATCATATTCTTTTATGCTGACTGATGTGACACAGGGAGCATTGTGCTTATGATCAGCTTCTATGACAAAGCAGCTGATTGTTAGAGTTGCCTCAGTTCCAACTCCCCATACACTCTTCAGCTACTGTCTACCTTATCAAAAATAAAAATAAGTTTTAACAGAGAGTCAGAGTCAGATTCAGATGTTTGGGAAGGAGGCTCTGTCTCATGACAGGCCTGGGTCGGGTGTTTAGGGTGTTGTAGGTCTCAGGTGCCTTGTACATCTGAACTTGTCCAGGTACTTGCAGAGCCTGACTGCAGGGTGAGAGCCTGTGGGGAGAGGAGAAACAGGGTGGAGGTGGCCTGCTGGCTAATGCAGCCCCTGAGCAGATGAGCAACAGTCCTTCAGGGAATAAAAAAAAAAAAAAAAAAAAAAAAAAAAAAAAAAAAAAAAAAAAAGAGCAAACAAGAGAATCCACAACTATCCATGTTTCTTGAATTTACAGTAAAGTCTCATTATATTTTGCTCTGACTAAAGTGAACAAAAAAAATCATTAATTTTTACAGTTATAGTGCCTTGGAACATGGATGATACTTGTAGTATGTGTGGTGTACATAAACAGTTCTTTCAAAATATTGTCTTACAATCTTTCTCTATTCTCTGAATCAATGTCTCAAGAAATGCATTTGAAATAGTAGGAAATTTGCATTCACTGATACATGTAAATACAAACCTCAGTTTCAAATACAAAATCTTTCTTAAAAATTAATCTTGGGTAAACTTTATATATAAAAATAGCATTAAGAAACAGTCATTATCTGAAATGTAAGTTCTTTGTAAGAACTTTTTTTTTTCCCCCAGTGTTGGAAAATCCTGAAAATTCTAACAAAAAGCATTTGCACAGCACCACATACACCTCTGCCATTCTCACAAAGATATGCATGCCAGTAATCATACTGCTGAGAACTCAGTTCTGTTAATGAGGGCAGCAGCACAAAATTCGCTCTTTAGCAGCCACTCACTTATTCAGACAGTTTCTGAAGGATGAACTACTTCAGCATTTACAATGGTCATGTCAGCATCTCTGTAACCTTTCTCATATCTGTGATATTTAAACCTCTGGGATCACTGGATTTGTATGGTGTTGGTTCTTCTTTCTGTGTCTGTACACCATGCTCCTATTGCTCACCCAGCTGAACCCAGCCTGGGGTTTTTAAACTGCTCAGTAGCATCTGTCACTTTTATGTCATTAACTTACTCTGCAAGACAAATTTACTTTTGCCTCCCTCGCTAGCCCAGTCTTCATTATCACCTGGTTTCTTCAGTAAACTTGTGCATATGAAAATATCATGTACTCTTGTCTTGCCTTCAGGTGCCTGTTCTGTCTGTGAGCCAAATAATTTGTAACTCAAACATTCCAATATTTAATTTTCCAGCACAGGGCTGATGACAGTCTAAAAACCAAATAAATACAGTTTCCATAATGATTTGTGTTTTATATTTTTTTAATGCTTTATTTATATCTACAGGAAGAAGTATATGTGATAAGTGTAACATCACCTAGCTCTATTTCTTATGTTTTATGAAGTACAACTATAGCCATTAGCTACATTGTTTCCTAATTTTTAGTCTTTGCACTGCAAAATTAACCCTCCAATTGAGAAATCATTCAGTGCTATTATTGCCAGTCTTGAGAGATTGGAATCGTAACTTTGAGAGAAGAGCAATGTTCTTACTACTCTACTGAAGTAATAAATTACCATTTTGCAGCAATATCTGATCAGAATGTATTCCTACTGTCTTCCAGTGTCACTGGAATGGGATTTTCTCTGATTGTTTCCACAAACAGCATTTTTCTTGGCTTCAAAACCAAAAGAGTGTAAAGAATGATCCTCAAATGGGATGAAGAATAGAAAAGTGAAACAGAAAAGTCATCAGAAAACTAATTTAGTGAGATAACTCTCACTGAATTTCATGAAGAATTAAAGACTTCAACAAAATTTTAAAACAGGTAAGCCTCAGCAACTTGCTAGGACTTTTTATCTTTTTTTTTTCCATTTTTGAAACCTTCTGAAATACCCACACAGTATTTAAAAGCATAAAATGAAACTTCAGAAAATTATAAAATTCCTGATTTTCACAGTTCAGACAAACCTATTGTCATTATAGTCAGCATGCTGTTATTACGCACAATTTGTATGCCACAGTATGATGGCTGAGTTAATTAAAAGCTCTTGTAATAACCACACAGTTAAATTGCAATTAGTGCCACACATGAACTTTATGGCACTTTGATTTTGCTTGGTGTGATTCCTTAGAATGTCTACTTATGATTACTCACAGTTTGGAAAACTGGAGCATTATAAACCTTTGCATTTAAACAGGGATGGACAATGATGGGAGCATCACAGCAATAATGGTTGGACATCATCCTCTAAGTTCAGACACTCAGTATGAGAAATATGTCACATTCTTTGTTTCAATTTTGGTTTGCACCTTTTGCTCTTTTTCCCCACAACACAAATGTTTTTTTTCTGACCTCAGCATTTCCACCAAAATTATTTTACATCAAATGACTGAAGCAAACAATGCAAAGTCCTGTGATGCACTTCAAACTAGATTTACAAAGTCTCAATAGACTCAAGTTTTAAATGCCTGCATGGACTATGGCCACAGTGATGCCTTGAAGGTCTGTGAGACTGGATCAATCTAATTAACACCTGACACATACTCCATTTACAGGAAATCCTAGAAATATATACATACATGTATCAAAACCTTAGAGTACTTGCTAAACCTACCAAAAAAACCCAAGAAAGAAACTTTTAAAATGAAGTTTCTTTCATGTTTCAGACTCCTGATTCTGATACCCAGCCAGATCTGAATAAAAGACCAAGAGGTTTTGTACCTAGAGAGGTGTCTTCTCCCGTTCCTTGATGCACAACACAGTCTAAGTGACTAGCTATGCCATAATCTGATTTTATTTAATGCATGTTTTAGGTAGTGATTATTCTGGTGGCTTTAAATTCTAGCTGTCAGATCACAAACTTGCCATATTCCTTACAGTTAAATCCGCTCAAACACTCATGAGCAAATGGACAGCTGAAATCTAACAACCCTAAAATAAAGCTAGAATGAAATATCACACTGGTTG